GGTACCTACTGTTTAAGATGCTTCTGTTAACAACAGACATTACAATGATATTATTAAATATTATTTGGGAAACGCATTTTGCTCACATCTAACTGTTCACTCTGAATTACCAAAATTATAATGTTATGATAAGGGGACAGGCTCATTAATAGCTAGAAACATGTCATTTTTAATAGCGCTGTACAAGGATGAATACTTCTAGCAATGTTTTCCAACATTTATGCCTGTCCCATTAATGCGATCGATCAGTCATGATGATGAAATGAAACCTCAAGGAGGAGCCACACGAGTCTTAGACTCAATTCTAGAACATATTAACTGTTTAGAAATTGAAAACCGTTTTATCATAACTTTTATGATGTTCTCCAAGGAGGGTTCCGCAAAGTGTGTTTGTCATCACTTGGAACTATTTCAAATGGTGCACAAAACCTTTTCAAAGCACTTAGCAAACAGTCATAATTAACACTCTCAACAACAAAAACAATATTATTACAGCTATAATACCAGGCAAAAATAAAAATAGCAATAAAAATAGACCTTATCCTTAAAAAATAATTAGGTAAATTGACTCAAAATTTTACTCAAATATATACTTTTTGGTTCATATATAAGAGAGGGATCCCGAAGAACACAACTGTCAAGAAATGCTGAGTGTGCAATAGTTTCACCTCGGACGGAAAAATTCTGAGGAAAGGTCTCAGATAAATTGGTTTCCTACAGGTAAGTCTTTTCAGTCAATCTGGCTCAAAGGAACATCTATTTAGTAATTGCCTTTTCCTGCCAACACCTACACATACATCAGCAGAGAGGAATAGAGGTACAGTATGTCATTTAAAATTTAGAAAAATCTCTTATGTTGATACTGCTTCTTCAGGCGGATTTTCAGGTGCGCACTTGAAGAAGCATGTTAGCAAAATTTGAGTTCGTGAACTTGAAATGTCGTTTATCATAGAACTTAAGGAGTGCTGGACTATAAGGGTGATTGTCCTTAAGATGTAGGTAGTGGACCTCTGGTTCATTTGTCGTATGACCACACTCTTCACAGACATACATCTGAAAAAAATAACAAAAATATTGTAGTCTTTCCCAAGGCAAAACTTAAACCACATCTTTGTAAAAATGAACAAACCTTTGTGCGGCGCTCTTTATAAGCATATTGGTGTTGCACTCCATGAACTTTCAAACAGTGAGATTCCAGAGAACAGCGTTGTGTGAAGGACTTCTCACAAAGATTGCACTTGTACGGCCGAACACCTGCAATATCAATAAGATTCACATTTAAGAAAATCAAAAGCAGAGCATAAAGTCAAAGGATTAAGAAACTTGTTTACATACCAGTGTGTGTTCTTGTGTGTCTCTTAAGATCGAAGGTATCGTTGAAACCCTTCCCACAGAAAGTGCAGAGGTAGCGTTTGACATCACTGTGACACTTCATGTGACGGTTTAGGAGCCGCTGCAGCGAAAAGCTTTTTGTGCATAGGTGACACGAGAAGCGGGTGGGCTTCCCATTCTGCTGAAACCGAGGCGCGACCTGCAAGATTGGTATATTAGTATACAACGATGTACCAACCGGACTAATCCGAATCAAAGGATGCGTGGATACTCACTTCCTCGGCGGCAACCTTGTCCTCAGGCGCGGGGCGCGCCGCAGGTCTCGGTGGACCGGTCATGACCTCGTGGGAAGCCAGGGGGTTCTTGATGCCGTGCCCGCCGTTCACAAACTCCAGAGCGACGTCTCCTGGTAGGCCGAGCTGAAATAGAGAGGAACACGGGGATGAGTGCGGGAGCTCGAGGGCTTGCAGCAGACTGTTACAACAGAGATACTCAGCGAACACTCACCCGTTGCTGGATGACGTTCACACGGACCTGCAGTGAAGGTAGAACGCCCATGTCGTGGTCAGCGTGGCTCGAATCCCTCCTCCCGGACGTCACGGAGCCCGGCGGCGACATGGAGGCCGTCGAGTCGCCCAGCGCGTTGTCGTCCACGCCGCAGGACGCGGGCGAGGGCAGGGACATGGTGGTGGGCGAGTCCAGGTCGAACGACAGCCCGGGGGACAGCAGCGACGCGTTGCCGTTGCCACTGTTACTGTTGCCGTTGGACGGCGGGTTCTGCAAGTGGACCTGCACCTGCAACTGCTGCAGCTGCGGCTGGTCTGCGGCGGGCTCCTGCTTGTGCAGGCCGTGGTAGCTGTCATGCCCCATGAAGGCATTGGTGGACGTGGAGCTGGCCGAGCTGACGGTCGGCTTGTACTGGCTCTGCACGGGCGTGCCGTAGGGCCTCGGGTACGGCGACGACTCTGGGAAGGGGTCCACCGAGCCGGCCAGGGATTCGGAGGACTGGGGCGAGCCGACGGAGTGCTGCTGATGCTGCTGGATGGCCTCCTGCAGCAAGTCGGCGGCCTGGTTGCTGCTGCTGCTGCTGCTCGTGACCGGGCCCGGCCCGTCCAGGTCGTCGTCGTGGGGCAGCCTCGTCATGAAGAGGTCCGCCGCGTCCGAGAGCGACTCGAGCAGCGCGCTGTGCTCCGCGGCCGACGAGAAGGTGAGCGTGGCCGTGAGATCCACGACTGAGCCGCCCGTTAGGTCCACCATCATCTGGTCATTGACGTCGTAGTTGTTGCCCTGCGCGGAGGACACGAAGCCGCCGGTAAGGGTGGAGATCTGAAAAATAATGATTCACGAGTTAGACGAGAGGTCCGAAGGAGCCGTTCGCGAGTGTGTGGGCGACGAGAAAGGTACATACCTGGGGCAGGCCGCCGATCTTCCCGGAGCTGAGCATGTCGAAGCCGGGGAAGTCGTCCTCCTCCTTGACGGTGAGGCCGTACGACGCGCACACGTTCTGCAGGAGCGAGTACTGCTTGGGCAGTGGGCCGTCGAGGCCGTAGCCTCCCATGCCGCCTCCACCCTGCCCTTGCCCCGTGTCCGTTCCGCAGTCCAGGGAGTGCGCCGAGGGAAGCATGGTGTAGCCGCCCCCAACGCCGCCGCCGTAAGGGTGGCCACCGAAGGCCGACAGGGAGGACAGCGACGACATGCCGCCCCCCTTGAGGGTCTCGTAGAACGGCGGCAAGCAGCCCGTGGGTGGTGAGCTAGGGCCGTAGTTGCTCCTACCGCCGCCGGCACCGCCCCCGGGGTTCATGGAGCCACCTCCGGAGCCACCCCCGGAGCCCAGAGCGCCACCACCAGAGCCGCCACCGAGGCCGGCGCCACCGGAGCCGCCGTTGGAGAAGCCGTGGGAACCACCCCCGGAGCCACCTCCACCGCTGCCGTTGCTACCACCACCGCCGCCACCACCGGCGGATCGGCCGTGGCCGTGGCCGGCGGCGGCCTGGAGGATGGCGGGGTGCCTCGCGGCCAGCAGGAGCCCTGGCAGCCCGGCGGGCATCCCCGCCAGCCCCGCGGAGGGCGGGTGCGTCAGCTTGAAGGCGCCCCGCCCGGGGTGGCCGAGGGGGCCGTGGCCGGGGTGCGGTGGGCCCACCGGGGGGCCGAGCGGCGGGCCGGGGCCGGGGCCGCGGGTGATGGCGTTGGAGATGCGGGCCGTGCAGTGCCGCCGCCTGTCCCGCTCCAGCCGCTCCTCAGTGCTGCAGCGCTTCTTGGGCACGTGGTAGTCGATGGGCGCGTCCTGCTCGGGGGCCATCACCACGCTGCCGTCCGGGGGTCCGGGAGGCGGCGGTGGGCTCGGCGTCGGGGGGATGCGGCTGCTGGGCGCGGCCGGTGAAGGCGCCAGGGACGGCGTCGACGGCTTGGAGGGCATGGCGCGCTCGGGGGAGCGCGTCCTGGGCGCCACCGCGTCCGTGCTGGACTCGGGGGTGGGCGTCGACCCCTTGCCGTCATCTGGCTTGGGCACCGGCGTCCTCTGGATGACGGACACCCGGGCGGGCGAGCCGTCCGACGGGTACTCCTTGCGCTCGGCCCGCGTGAGGATGTGGCGCGCTCCGTAGGGGACGTCGCCGCCAAGGATGGACGAGGTGAACCGTCTTGGCGGGGACGGGCTGGAGGAGCGCGGTGCACCAGCGAACCAGCGGCGGGCACCATCTTCGCGGCGACCTGCAATTCAAACAAGGAACAAATTTAGAGCAGGGCGGATTTGAACCCAACCGACTCCACGTGGCAATGCACCACCTTCCTCGGTATGTCGGGAGAGGGAAACCCAGACAGTCAGACCCTCTCTTCTCAGTCTCTGAGGCCCGCGCGTCGACACGACGGCGACGTTCACCACGAGCCGGGCTGAGCCGGCCCACAGACTCCGGTGCGGCTCAGCCGCCACTGCGTCACGACATGTCACCGCCCCCCCCCACCCTTTCTCCTGAGAAGAAGAGAGGTGCACCAACGCATCGCCCCGCCCCGGGCGCCCCGCCCCGCCCCGCAGGCGTCGGATGTAGATAATGGGGCCTAATGGAGGTGGTCGTTGGTCGTAGGGGTGGGCCCGCTGGGCCGCGGCGGCGGGCGCCTCGTGTGGACGGATAACAGCATTCCTGAGAGATGGCCGCCCGCGGGCCGCGGCCAAGGGGCGGGGAGGAGGAAGGGGTGTACCGCCCCGCCCCGCCATCAGCCCGGGTCGCGGCGAGCTCCGGCTCCGGGGGCGTGCCTGCTGGACCCGGGGGGCCGCCCCTGCGTGGGCCGCGAGGGCCGCGAGCCTCGCCGATGAGCGACGAGAGCAGAGAGTGGTGGCTGACGGATTTGGGACGAGCAAACCTCAAAACATGATTTTCGCTATTGGCGCGCGCCTGACCCACATCGCCTCCCGGACGACGCCCACCAACGCCACCTTCCCGGACCGCCTGGTCGCCCCAACGGGATCGCCAACCTCCACCGCGGGTGAGAGACGACCGCCGTACGACCCCCCAACAATCCTACACATCGTTCCAGCCGAGCCGGCACATTTGCCGCGTTGACACTCGTGGAGCCACAGGCGCAGGGCGCAGGGTCTGTCAGCCCGTGGTGCCTGCTTTACGGTCCGAGTTAGTAGGCAACCCGCACGCACGCGAGCATGTGGTGCAGCCGAAGTTCTCGAGTGGGCGGTGCACGTAAGTATCCGTACTATCCGGTCGTGCTCGGCTTGGGATGAAGATCGCCACATCCTGTCGCCGTTCCCTGTGACCCCCTCACGCCCCCCACACACGCTGCTGTGCACGCGGAAGGCGGAGTGTATAGTCCGTTCGACATGGCGCGTTACACATTCAGGTTCGCATTGGGACCACTGGATGAGTCGGATTCGATTTTCCGCGCGCTTCGCTGGCGCCCCCTTCCGGCCCCGCGGCGCCACTTCACTTCCCGTACAGAGCGCACCACCGGGCACCACCGGCCGGAGCCCAGAACCGCCATCGTCATCAAATACAACACCACTGCAGCTAATCGCTTTCATCTAACTCTCTTTCAAACCCGTATTTTTATTTCTTTTCGTAGCAATTTTTTTCTCTACTCGGCAACTGTAAGTGCGGCGCCAGGTAGAACCCACCAACCACCCAGGGGTTCGAATTTTTATTTTATAGGCATTGACGGCGAAAAAAAATTATTGCGAGGCAACATCTGCGCGCCCCTTACGGGGGCCGAAAGCAGCCGAAAGGGTGCTCCCCGGAGGCTGTTAGAGGCGGGGCTGCAGCCGCAGATGGGGCGGAGTGGGCAGGTAAGAGAGCGAGAGAAAGAGAGCCAGAGAGGGGGATGGGGGCACAGGTAGGGGGGAGCTAACTGTTCGGCGGCGAAACAGTTCTTGCGAAAGCGAATAGCTCGAGAATAGCTGCTTATGACAGGAAAGGATGGCACATCTGGGGGCGTCGCCGCCGACGACGAGGGGAGAAGGGTGGGGGAGGGCCGGGTCTATTCTCCCCCAAACTGCAGCAGGTCCCCCCCCCCTGCCCTACTCCTCCGCCAGGATTGTTGGGGAGGGGTTGCGGTGGGACCCCTCGGGGTCAAAGTCCCTCCCGGGCTCCGTCGGCTCCGAAGGGCTCCCCGTGCAGGTGGGAGGGGACCGGGGCAGGACCCCCCGCCCCCGCCCGGGCGCATCTTCTTCACCTTCCTGCCCCGACTGTGGGAAAGTGCACGCCAAACCGAAGCTGCAGCCGCCCTGACACTAGTGTAGAAACACCTTCGCTGCTTCAGTTTGGCGCGCGTTGTCGCTTACTACTGCTCTCTGATGAGCACGCCCATGCTTTATTCGCCAGTTTTATTGAAATGGTGGTCCCCGAGCGAGTGATCTTTCCTAACGAGACAATACTGACCACTAAACGAAATCCTGATCCAAATCTGCACACTATGATGTAAGGATTTAAATGGAACTGAAAGGAGCAGTGCGCGGTGTGGCCACAGACTGAACCTGCCTCTCCCAGCTGCGCACCAAAAGGAATGCTTGGCAACGAGTTCAGTGTCCGCCCGGCAAGACGTGGCCGTCAAGAAGGTGCAAAACCCTGTCGTCTGTCGTCTCTCTACCTGACGCCCGACGGGCGGCGGCGTATACTATACTAGCCTTGGCGTAGCCCGAGAGTGCCAGTGCCACACTAAACCGGATAAGGGCGACAAAAGTGAGAGAATAGGGGGAAAGTCCGGGGCGGAGGCTCTTATTGAGCGTATATTGCGAGGCGGTCTGCTGAATAACGCTCCAATCGCGCTGCGCTCGCCAATACGTGTCTTTCTCTCTCTGGCGCGATAGACTTCTCACGGTGGTGCGCCTTATTCAGGATGAGCCGAGCCGTAATCCCCCACACACACCGCACAATAATGCGTCCCGGTGAGATTGTGTGTTTTTTCCCTCTTCTTCCTTTGCTTCCTTAGGAAGTGGTATATATACGCACAATGCAATGCTGCTGTCGGCGATTATGTATACCACCGTGGCAACAAATTACGATACTAAAAAAAATATCCTAGCAGAACACGAGAAACGCAAGTGTGTGAATGTCGCACACTAGTAGGTTTGCGAATATCCCAGAATATCCATTTGTACACTTAGGTGGGTAAGCGTGTAAATTTTCTAGGAAAAGTTCACACCTTTACCCCCGTAAGTGTAATGGATTCACACACCTACAAGTGTGCGACATTCACACACTCGCGATTCCAGTGAAGCCGCCGTCTGGTCAAAAAGGTTCAAAACTGTGTATACTGTACTTTACAGCGTGGGTGTAAAATTCAAGGTAGTAAAAGTCATTCTCTGTGTGTTTACAAAGTCGTAGGTGTGTTCATACGCGCGCGCGCGCGCGCGTGCGTGTGTGTGTGTGTGTGTGTGTGTGTGTGTGTGTGTGTGTGTGTGTGTACGCGCTACTT